CTCAGCTCACAAGTTTTACATTTTATTTCTTGATAAGGGTATCAATTACTGCTTGAATGTCATCAATTCTCAGTATCCTTGCTCTAACAGACTTAAGCCAGGTCCCTTTAATACGCTTGAATACAATATTTTGTAGGTGATTGTGCTAACTCCTTGGATATTGTATTTCCATCCTGATCCACAAGCTATGTTGTAATTATAAAAATGAAAAAGGTCTGACATTTTAAAAAAGTTATAATGAGCACAAATAGCTTGGCAGGAGTGCAGGAAGTCTGCAGCAGTCTGAATATTATAAACAGAGACAAGGCCTGAGTCCCTCCCTGGCTTAAACAAAAGAAGTAAGGCTTCATACCCTAGAACCATAAAGTCCATCAAAATCTGGAACACGGCAGCACAAATCATTTGCTAATGAGCTGGCCACTGACTCAGAAAAGCTAGGATGATGCTTTTCCCAGAAGGATCAATGTCTGTTAGCAGGGTGGGCTGTTTCAGGTAAATTCTTCCAGCCTATTATGGGAACGTATTGCTGGTAGTACATGACTGACCTTTGGTTAACCAATGTTACATGTAGCGGTGTGATACTTGTGGTCTTAACAACATATCTGAGAACATACAGGTTGAACCTCTCTAGTCCAGAACTCTCTGGGTCCAGCAATATCCATGGAGCAGCATGATTTTAGTTAGTCAGATGTCCATATATCATGGCTTTGGCCAGCTTTCCTATGGTGCCATGAAGTCTATTTACAGCCACCAGTCCTGGCAGCCAGTGTTCTGTGCTGTTATTTAGCTCTAATTTACTCCTAAATGTCTTCTAAGAGCCCAGTAAGCAGTGACATGCTGGTAATGCTTCTAGACAATATTGACCTCCTGTGGTTTAGCAAATTCTCTGGTTTGGCAATGGTCAGGTCCCGAAGGTGCCAGACTAGAGAGGTTCAACCTGTACTGCCCACTAGAGAACATATCCTAGTTTCTCTATAGGAGCTACAATGTTCTGCTACTCATTTGGACTGTTCCATTGGCCATAAGACAATGGAGTAAGATTGGTATATGACCAGGATAAGTGAAAGAAGAATTAGAGTATGTTTACACTGGCAGATGAACAACCCTGGCAGTTAGGAGCATTGCTTACAGAGCACTATAGAGAAACTACTGTTGTGTCTCCCCACTGTGACCCTTGTGATGGTGGAGCACATCCACATTAGCAGCTCTTGCAACACAACAAACAGCAGTGCATTGTGGTAGCTCTCATACCATTCAATTGGCCACAAGATTATTTGAGAAGGGCTTGGATTGCTGCACGGGACTGACTGCGACATATGATGCAGGTTTCCCAAACCCATTGCTCCATGGTCATCCTACCACATTGACAACTGCTTTTCAACTGAAGTGCAGGGGAAGGGGACAAGAGTATGACATGGAGCATGTGTGTGTGTGTGTCAGGACAGTGTATTTTAAAGTCACAGGAGTGGGAAGCTTTCTGATGGATGATCCACATTGATCCATTGCAAAACAATCATTTGCTGAGGTGGTGGACTGTATGGAATCTCTATATATAACTCTGAAATTGTTCTTGAACAGGAGTCTCTGGCTAACAGGACACAGAACTATTCATTAGACACGGAACTACTACAACAATTTACATTTTGTTTTCATTGCTCATTACTCAAACCAAATTATTTTGTGTGTGAAGAAGCAAAGCAAGGAGAAAAACTATGGCCTGCCCTTCTCATTCAGGACTTTCCATCTCTTTTGTCTCTTTCCTATTTTCATTTAATTTGTTCCTAATTCTGAATACACTTTCATTATTAAACATACTTACCTCATTGATAACATGTGCCACCTCTTCTGAAAGTTTTTTGTGCCTATTGGGGAAAAAAAAAATTTTTTTTCACTCATCTCAGAAAAATGTGAGACTGTGAACTATGTAATTGCCTAAACAATGTCAAGAATGGAACCTTGAAAAGGAACCTGTTGGAATTTTCACTATTTTTGTAGAAGTAGCATAATCATAACACACTACATAATTTATTAATTAACAAGTAAAATATTACATTGAATTTAATCATAATACAGGATTATATTTAATCAAGCAAATTTACAATAAACCAAATTAAGAATAAAACTATATGTAAATTGTTCTAATGATGCTGAAATCTAATAGCAATATAAAAAAAAGGATGTTTGCTTAGTAGATTCAACTAGACACTTTCTATGCTAACTGCTAACCACATGTGGCTATTTGGTCAGTTGAGTGTGGCTAGTTGGCTTGAACATCGGGGCTACTTGACTAATTGAGTTTAGCTAATTCTCTATAGCAATAGCCACGCTGCTTCTGAACTGGTTGGACACCACAGTATTGTTTAAACATTGTTTTGAACTGTTAAGAGAAGTTAGTCATAGGACCATCTGTATGGAATTATCTATTTTGTTTTGCATTGCATTTCTCCAGGTAAAAGTATTACTATTTCAGAGAGCTACAGAAACAATGATCAGGTCCCTTAATGATACAAAAACATACATTATACAAAGTTTCCTCACCAGGCTCTTGGAAATTTCCTGGATAATCTCCCCACCATACTTAAAATGACTATGTATTTTGAATAGAATTGGCAAAAATAAATAGGCTTTTCAAATATATTTTAAGCTAATCCAACAGGCAGATACACCAGCCAGGGAAGGTAAAATAAAGTTCCAAACTACCAGTAAACCAAAGGCCCTTTCCACATGGCTAGCTTTATTAATAGGAAAATTTGAAACAAGTAATTTTGCACCTACTAACAAACAACAGAGATCTTTAAACTTTCACTATCAACTTTCAACATCCTTGTTTTTATATTGCTACTATCAGATTACTGCATCATTAGAGCAGAATTTGTTCTTTCAATAAGGAGAAGACACAAATTCTCATCTGAACAAACAACCTCACCCGTGCCTCCATTGCAGATCAGTCAAGGAAAGCAGCCAGGATGGTTGCTCAGATGAGAGTTTGTCTCTTCTCCTTCTCCACTTATAGGCAGAGGACCAGCGCTTTCCTTGTGACCTCTTACATGTTGTGCATTAAGAAGCACTTTTATAGCTGAAGACTCTTTTTCTGCCTCTGTCTCACACACACCCTACGCACAAAATTAAAGGATTTACATTTTGGTTTCTGGGGATTGCCATGTCTTGATCTTGGAAGATCATAGTGTGATTTGTGTCTAGTCACACACATAGCTCTTTTCTGTCTCGCTTGCCATTTTAATCACTCCCCTCTTTTACTTTAGCCAGCTAAGCAATTTCCTGCTTCTTACGTACCTAAACCTAATCTTGCCTTTTCTCTTCTATCCCAAAATGTGTTGGCAGTTACAAGTAATTGTATAATGAGCTAGAGTTATAGGACCAAATTCTCCAGTGATGTAAGAAGATGCCATTCTCTGGAAGTGTGTGGAATTGCACCTATTTATGCCAGCAGTAAATTTGGCCCACAGTATCATAAAACAACACCCAGAAGACAACTATTATATTGAGCAACATAGAGGCGTGAGATTTCCTTCTCTAATGTCACATTATCAACTTGGTAGAAGAAGGCAGCCAATTTTAGCAATGCTTTTATATTATATATTATTTTATACAGGTAGTAAGATTGCAATCCTCAAGCAGTATATAAAAAATAAGAAACTCACACACACATGCATGCACCTCTTCTTGTTCTCACTGTACGTTTTGTGCATCAACTAAAACAATAATACTTCAGAGTATTAACTTACCTATCTTGTGAGGCTGTATGTCCTGAAGCAATATCAAAAGGCAACAAGGGCCGGATTCTACAGTGCACTCTGATATTTCCCCTCAGTTCCTGGGATTATAATATAAAAATGTATTTAGTACAAACTATTAAAAGGGAACATTCATGCAGGCCCCAGTCATGCTAATACTCATGTTTAACTTTAAGAACATGCATAAGAGTTGGCAAGAGTTGCTCCAAGGATCTGCCTGTTTAGAACAATGCGCAAAAGTGCTACTTTTAAAAGACATTTCTGATTAGGAGAAACATGGTATGACTTGCTACAACAAGGAGATGTGACTCCATAGAGAAGCATATGGTACATAGACAAAAGGTCTGATATATAAAGTAGGAGCACATCAATTAGTTATGGTATTTGGGAAATTATGCAATTTACAATTATTGTGCAAATTATGCAATAATACAATAATTATAATTGTAGGAGGTCTCATTATAAATACTCACAACCAAACTGTTGTGAAGTATTTTTCTCTTTTGTTTTTCTTGCTGGTATCTTTCATTAACTTCCTGTAAAGACTGCTCCAGATCAAATGCTTTTGTCTGGAATGCTGGAAGAAGAAAGACATTTAAAAAACACAAGCTTTTGGGGTATACAGGTAGGATTTTCAATAACATCTAACAGTTATTATGGACACAAATGGATAACCCTGAAAATGTTAAATTATTAGATGTACAAGACATTCAAAGATAATTCAGATCTGCCAGTCCAGTTAGGCCAGAGCTATTTGTTGTCATGTGAGAGATTAATGTACAGGGGCCATGTTGGGACTTCTGCTGTTTAAGCTGGTAGCCATCAGACACATTGGAGTAGTTATGGGCATTTTCTTCCACTCACCAATCTGGTGGTGATCTATACAATTATAACCACATCTAATGCAGACTCATTAGGCATCAATAATGGCAAGTGCTCCCCTCCTATGCAGAGGAAAAGTGCTGAAGCAGCTGCAACTATAGGTGGCTTATTAAGGAGCTAGGGTAGAAGCAGGGAGTGCTCTAGCATGAACAGACAGGCATTAACTTGCTCTTGAAGTGGCAATTAGATAGGAGAGTACAGAACTTATGCAAGTTGTAATGATATGAAGTGTTTTGAGAAAATACTTTACATGTGATGGAACATGAGTCTGACTGTCCTGGAAAATGGACTCTACATACAATGAAGGCAAAGAGTCACTAGTTCATACCTCTGCTTGTTTAGCTGAGCATAAATTTGCAATACAATAAGCAAGGAGTTAAGACATGCAACTCATTTATTGTGCTGCTAAATCCTTGTAAACAGATGTGAAAATATTCCCACAAGATGCCACAGTATACTTCATTTCTAGGATTTTATAGAAAGTTGAATCCTTTGGAATTCCATGAAGAGGGACATATAGAGTAGAGTAAAAGCTCTTCAACTTCACATTTGATTTTGTTTCAACTTAATTACATTCACACTGAAAGGGACATGTGGCAAATGAGAAAAACCTGCAAACTGTCACAAAAAGCAACCACCCAAGAATCCAGGAATCCCAGCAAGAAATCAAAGTGCCAGAATTAGCAAGGTGTCTAAGGTGACAGAGATATAGTAACTCAGGAATGTGGCTCTAGAATTGGAATAGCAATAAGACCACCAAGAAGTACTCACCTTTTTATAAAGTAGTTAATATTGAATTTTAAGATCTCAACATGGCAAGCATGTATACTATACTCCCTGTTAGAAGCTAGAAATCTGAAAACTTTAAATATTTGTCTTATATTGGACATTTCCCAGCTCTTATTTTTTGCCATTCCTAATCCCTACACCTCAGGCTGTCAGCCCTGAGATACTCTCCAGTTTGCAGTTTACCAGGGATATGTAAAAATGTCAGCTAGAGGGGCAAGCTAAAGGTGCTGCATGGAGAATGGTCCACTTTTTGCATTCAATATATCTAGTAATACTGGCTTGGTTTGAGGAATCATTTGTGGGTTAATGTTGGATTCTACTTAAACAATAGTGGGGTTAAAATTTTCAGTGTTACCCTGAAAGTCTAAACAGAAACTTCTCTCTTTCGTCACATAAGACAGTAATTTTTAAAAAATATACACAGTCACACTCACATCTTGAATTTTCTTGGGAACCCGGCAAAGGAGGAATTGTATTATGGAGCAATGACAGTGATCTCCTGCTAAGCTGCAAGACATTTTCTGTTGTAGGCCTGAACTTGACCACTTGGCACAGCTCCCTCACATAAGATTTTTCAAGTGAAGCCCCTCATAGCTAAAGCATGATGTAAAATTTTCTCATTTGTTTTATATACTAATCCTCTTTAAGAACTAGCACTTAGGACTGCTTTTTTTAGCATGCTGGAAAGCAAATGGTTTTAGTTATTAGAGGTGATCTCTGTGCACTGAGCTTCTGCGAGAGGTCTGGTGAACATTACACACTCCGCTCCACTTAATCTATGCTTTAGCTTATTTTTTCCCCCTAGCCCTTTTTGTTGTGAAAGTAATTATGAAAAGAGACCTCAATCTTTGGCTTGTCTCTCAATGGTCACTAATTTGTCAAAATGGTTTTCCAAATAGACTGATGATTCCTTGGGATCTATAGAAAACAGAGGCTCACAATAAACTGTGTTTATTCTAGCACAAACCCCTACCCTACTTCAAGTTCCTGCCTCGACAACTGGTATTTTCATACATGCTTTCCCAACACTCACTCACATAAAAGGAGTAAACCATTATAGTTTTATGCTGCTCCTGTTTTGGGAGGCTTTATATGCAGCAGAGATGGACTCTTTTAATGGAAGTGCCACAAAGCCCGCTTTCTAATAGGCAATTACTTCTAAACCTTTCTTGTATGGAACTATTTGTTTATTTACCTGGCCATTTCTTATCATTATCATTTGTGTTCTCCTGGGACTACTGCTTGTTTCAGCTGTGAACCACTAAAAAAGTAACTTATCTCTCTCTATATAAACAGCTCTATATATTACTTATATATCACTATACATTACATATCTCTCTCTAGATATCTCTCTCAATATAAAAAAAAAATTCCTGCGGGACGAAAGAGTGAAGACATCACATCATCCTGCGTCCCGCCACCCGCTTCTGCCCTCAGTTGCATGGCCTCCTCCCTCTCTCTCCCTTCCCCAGTGCTCCAGGGAGGTGGGAGTCTCTCCCATCCCGTACATCCCCCTCCATATTTGCCAGTGAGTGGAATAGGGATGGGGGTGCAGGATCTGGGTGGAAGGTGGGGTTCAGGAGGGGGGTGGGTATAGAGTATGGCCAAGAAGGATTGATATATAAGTCTTGGGAGGACCCCATCAGTCAGTCTGACAATATTTGTGCCAAAATGATAGCATCTATGTTAACCAGGGAACTATGTTAATAAGGACAAAAATGGGTCTGTTCCTGGTTTGGAATTACAATTATTCACACTTCACATAGCAAAGATGGCAGAGTTTACTTTTCAGACCGAAATTAAATATATTTAATAAGAGGCTACTCAGTTATTTTACAACTGTTTGAGATCACTCTATACCTATCAGACTCTGGCAATACGCATACCTGGAATGCTTTTTAACTTGTAACATGATTAAAAGCCTAGAAAACATGGCCTAAGGGAAGTCTGAAAGAATTAGGGTTGTTTAGTTTAGAAAAGAGAAGACTAAGAGGGGACATGATAGCAATTTTCATGTATCTAAAAGGGTGTTACAAGGAGGAGGGGGAAAAATTGTTCTCCTTGGTCTCTCAGGATAGGACAAGAAGCAATGGGCTTAAATTGCCAAGGTAATGGGATGTGTGTGAAATTTGATTGTTTCTCATAAAATGGAAAGGAAGGGGTCTGGCAGGAGGGAGTTATATTGCAGAATGACCACGGGGGGCAGTAAGGGACCAGAGTTGAGGACTGAGACAGCTATAAACTCATTGGGTCTGTAAGGGGCATGGATGGAGAAAGAGACAGCTATCTACTATATATTTCAGAGAGTTTGTCTGTGTGTCTGTTTGTCTATGTGTCCCCCAGCCAGAGAACATGTACCCCTCCCTCCAGTTGTGCCCGCTGCAGCTGAAGTGACTATGAACATGTGCATCTCATCTGGCCCCAAATTGTTGTGAGGAAACAGGGCTGGTCTCTCCCTGGGACAGTCTGCATACTGACCCCCTCATCCTCAGTCCCACTCCAGAGCAATGATTTAAATGAAGAAAATCAAAACTTATTTGAGTTAGGACCTGAGTAACACCTGGCAAATCTTCTAACAATTTTTTAAAAACTAGTTTACAACAGTGATTTGTTTATGGGCTAACGACAGCCTGATAAATTGGAGCACTCAGCCTGATCTTGGTTCCATTTTCTATTTTGTTCTTCACTCTGGTATCAAAGGTGGTCTGTTTAATTGTTTTCTTCATTTTGGCAGTAAAGCATTCTAAACCCATGGAGAATATAGTCTTTGTTTAATCCATCTGACTGACTAATAGGGAAAAGTTCACTGGGATTGCTCCAACACATACTTGCCCCTGTGCATTTTGCTTGTACCATTACATGAGTAATCCCCCTGGAGTCAAATAAGACCCAGACCTAACTAATTTTTGCAGCAAAAAATGGATAATTTTATCTCGTGTTATACTACTAGGGGATAACATTGCGAGTTGCTGAGTGATGCACAAATTTCAGTTTTTACTTTTTATTTCTGCATTTTAGGTTAATTAAATCCTGTCATCAGATCTTCCAGCACAGACTCTTATGCCTGTGTGAGGTCCCAGTGAAGTCAATAAGTTCTAAACATGTGCAAGAGTCCAAGACTGGAGGATCCAGTTGCAAAATCAAGGGCCTGGTGCAGACAGAGTATTTGTGGACACAAGTGCATATTTTGCATTTATACATGTTCTGCTAGTCAAACAGACACCAAGTTTTGAAAATGTAGTCCTACTAGTGTCATTTTACAAAGTACCTTTGTGTATGTCTGTTTTTAATTAAGAAGTATATTTTCCCCCTAAAACACAGTAAAAATATTAGAAATCCATTTTGCTCTATTTTCTGACATTATTCTGAGAATACTGAAATCTCCTGAGATTTTTCCTAGTACAGTCAAAAGTATAAAGTTTCAGCTAAAGTAACACATTTTTTGTTTTACTATTCCAAAACAATCAAGATAACGAGCCTGAAAATTTCACATTAAAAATGTTATAACTGGGCTAACTCGCCAATCTAGTAGAAGCTACAATCAGCATAAAAAATAGATCCCAATGATTGTTGAGTTGCTGCCCTGTGAAAATATTTGATTAAAAGTATATTTTTTTTGTCTTGGAAAGTCCAAGATTTAAACATTTAAATCAGGAGTGGGGAACCGAAGGCCCTGGGGCTGGATGCGGCTCCCAGCTTGCCTGAATCTGGCCCCCGAGGCCTAGGGCTCCCCGCAGCATTGGGGAACCTGCACTGGTACTCCAGCCCCCTTCCGTCCTCTCCCACTCCCCCCGCCGCTGTCGCCATATGAGGCTGGAGCGCACACTCTAGTAGCCTGGGCTCCACTAGGCTCTGGTGTGTGAGAGGAATGTGGGGACTGTCTTCCTCCTTCGCAGTCATCATGAGGATTTTGGGGGGAGGTGTTTTTTATTTTGGGGTGTTTTTTTGCTCCTCACTTTTGTGTGGCCGCTGACTAACTTTTCTGTGGGTCAGCAGCCTCCGACTATAAAAGATACCCTCTCCTGATCTAAATGGAAAAAAAATACTAAAACATAAATAACACCCGTGTCAAAATCAAACAAACCACACAAAAGAAATGTAATGTCAATGTTACATGTCTGAAACATAAGTGCATTGAGCCTTACTTTGCATAGCTTCATTTTGCAGCTGGATCCTTTGAACAGTAGTCAAAACTTGGTAAAGAGAATTCTTGTATTGATGCTGAAAGTCTCTTGAAAGCTCAAGAGCAAATGAATGGAGATTTTTCAGGTCTTGCTTAAGTCTCTATGCAATAAGCAGAAAACAGCATCTTAATAATAATGTAAAAATAGCAATTGGAGAACTGGTAAAATATATACAATGCAAATAATTATTGTCAGGTATGACAATTCGGAAGATTTATATTTCACATAATGAACGGGTTTAGTTAAAGATCGAACATGCAAGACACTGAGTAATCTTATTTCCAACTGGCTTCTGCAGGAAATTTCTTAGTAAGCGCTCAGACCATCACTACATCAGACCCTAAAGGTGGCACAAAGTATCTTTTTAGCTTTTTTAACTAAAACCAAAGAGACACTAACAGTGTGTGCTCTGCATGCTTATGAATCACATATACAACTAACTTTAAATACAAATACTTTAAAATATCTAGTTATTATTATATGTTATGCACATTTTATATACTTTGTTCAGTAGCTACATAGCAAGCTCATCCTCAAACTTTTCTAGAATGAGCCACCTCTGACTGATATGAAAGCTAAGAACATAAGATGCATTTTACAAAGATCAGATTCCTTTATAGTGTGGGATATGTTTATTATTACTAGAATATATCAATCCAATGCATACTATGTGAATATTAATAAGGTGTTAAGATTGCCCAGAGCATCTTAGACTGAGAGTTAAAAATTGAAATAAATACGTAAAAAATAAATTAAATATGATAGAGAGGTGTGGTCTGACTGTAGGACCAGGAGCCAGGAAATCTCCTAAGCTCTTGAATAAAGCACTTAACCAATCTGTAAAATGCGACTAGTAATGATTTACCTCCTATGTGTGCTACAAAATTTAACCCTTTCTAAGGCCCTTTGAAGATGAGAAAGTGCTGAGTATTATTATCTGACAACAGAAAGCCATCACAGTCCATAGGAATTGCATCCCAATCAACTCTGGCATTTTATTGAACCTAAAATTTAAAATAGCTTTACAAGATTTTCTAATAATTCTAATGAGAATAGCACACTTCATTTATTAAACACTGCATTCATCTTTTTTGTTATTTCTCTTTTAAAGATAGTTCTGATGCACTCCTTTTATACAAGCTTTTACACATCAATTCTGAGACTTATGTTCCTCTAAAAAAGCTGACATATGTACGTGTCCTTGAGAGAAACGTACAACTTTATGGCCTGTTTGCAGTCAGTCAGTAACTTTTAACAGAGGTATAACTTGTTTTAATACAATTGTGAGGGCAGCTGTGGGGTTTTCATTGCCTGGAAAATGAGGTCAGTTTTAGGTACTGTAAAACACACAACTGAATAATCTTGCTATATATTTTAGAATATGTCTGTCTGCCTGTGTATCTGTTTGAAAGTCCATTTGTTCAAGAACTCCTCCTAAACAGTAAGAACTAGGGCCACCAAATTTGGTATGCAGCCTCCTCTTCTCCTAACTTAAAGCAAGGTCAGCATTTGGTTGTGTCCATTGCCACAAGCCTTTCACATAAGGATCTGCTGATGAAGTTGATGGGGAGTATCACATGCAGAGGTTTTTAGAATCAGGCTATCTTTCAGAAATTATCAGCAATATTGTCTTACAATTTAGAACTGATTCTTTTTAAACATTTTACGACTGCTTCAGTTCACTGAGTATCACTGTATTATTACTAATATTATTTACCTGTAATGCGCCATAAACCTTGATTAAAATGGAACTTGTGCATCTACGCAAGTTCTGTTGATTGTCTTGAACAAAATAAAGCTGTGCCGCTTCATTCGTGTCTTTTCCAATCAAACCTTGATGCTGTTTAAAAAAAACATGTCATTTTGAAGAGTCGCAACTCTGAGAGAGTATGTTTTAGTCTAAGAACCAAAACTGAACGGAAACAACAATCTTCATTATATTGAACATCACTGGAAAATGAAGTCTATGCAGAGAAGAACTTGCGAAATTTTGCAAAGTATTATCTTGCATAATATTTAAAAAAAACACTTCTCAGTCACTATCCTTGTTTACAGACATTCTTGGAACCATTATAGCTAGCTAATATGTTTTATTTAAAATTTCCCCCATAAGCTGTTGACATCTATCAATTCTTAACTAGTATTTGTACTCTTTTTCTTATTTCTAGAGTGCACTTGTATGTACCATGGAACTTGCTTCCCAGTTAATTCAATTTATAAATGACTTGTGACTGTGGGATAGAGTACAACTAGGGATGTTAGACAGTACTTAATTGAATAATTGTGTAATTGCAACAAAATTTAGAATTTACACAATTATTCGATAGCGAGCAGCCAGTGTGTTCCTGGCCCCACTCCTGGTGACCCCCTGCTGCAATGCACTGAGGTGTTGCAGCAGCCCCTCTCCATGTGGGGCCCGAGCTCCCTGCGGACAGAGGCTGCTCTGCAGCAGCCTTCCCTGTCCCCTCCCCCATACTGCTGCTTCTGATAGAGAGGCAGCAGTGCGGCAGGGAGGGAACGGCTTATGTGAGCCAATATGCATAGGCAGCTGGCTTATAAGCCAGCTTCTTGTGTGTACCAGCTCCCACCTGCCCCTCTCCCCCTCTACGCTGCTGCCTATCAGAAGCAGCAGCATGCGGGAGAGGGGGACAGGCGGTCCCGTGGATCTGGTGCTCATGGGGAGATAGCTTTAAAGAGGCAGATACAGAGGCAGCAAAGAAGGAGGGACGTGAAGTCGGTAAGATTGATTTGTAAGCCCAAGATTATTGGTTAATCATGTAGTCGACTACACATTGCCACCCCTAAGTGCAACAGCAGCATTTCTAGTAACAATAAGAACTAATTTAATGAGACAAGTGTCTTGATTTAATTCAGTTAGTTTGCCATGGAACGAAAGATTCAATTACAGATGACACATGAAAGACAACAAGAGCAACATTATGTTCAGTGAACTTCTGCTGGCAAAACAAAAACATAAATAAAAACAATTTATGCTTTCCAATAAATGCTTGTACTTATCCAAGCAAGGTAAGGTTCTCAAAACGTTTTCAATGTATGTACCATATATTCATAGAAAAATTGTCTTTAAGAACAGAACCCCTCAATTAAAGGGTGGAATAATGAAACTGGATGGATCCTAACACATAACATCCTTGGAACAGATACAATAATTACTTACAATTAAAGGGAAAAAATAATACATTTAATGTTAGCCCACTTACAACAAAGAAAAGCAGAAAAATATTTAATTTTAAAAATATAATTTTAAATTAAATTTAATAACTGGCAACAAGGAGAAGAAAAAGTACTAACAGCTCAGCTCCTCAAAGGTACTTCAAATCCAGTGGGTGTTATGTGTCCAAATATTTTTGAAGATCTGGGCCCATGTGACTAGCAAGCTTTCCACTCTCTGTAAAGGACTCTATATATCACAGTTTGATAACTGCTGGAACAGAGGAGCAACCCAATTTTCACCTTGACTTAGTGCTAAAGAAAGCTCTGCTTAGTCTACCCTCAAATCACTGTAATCCAATAATTCTCAAACTTTAGCAACCTGAGAACCCCTACTTTGATTTAAAATATTTCAGTCCCCCCTTCCCCGCAAGTCTCAGCCCAGGGTCCGACCCCAACTCAACCCTTCCCCGAGGACCCTAGCCTGCCCCACCTCTTCTTGCCCTTCAGGCTCCAACTCCTGCCTTTCCTCTCCCCTTTTCCTGTACCACAGCTGTTTTGTGGCATACAGGAGGCATTGGGAGGGAAGGGGAGGAATTGGTCAGCAGGACCAGCAAACCCCCTGGACTACCTGTGTGGATCCCCAGGGGTCCACGAGCCCCAGTTTGAGAAATGCTGCTGTAATCACACAATTACTCTTTTTACTAAACAATTGGGAGCAATAAGTAATATGGGAGACAAAGAGATTCTCCTGCTTTTTGAAGGCTTGCCTCCTCTCTTGAATGCACTAAAAAATGCAAGTTAGAAAGAAACACAAGCTTAGAACTACCCTGAGTATCACTCCCCTGAAGCATTTGCCATTCTTCATTCCTCCATATCTTAACACAAATCTTTCTATGTTAATATTTAAAAGGATACTCACAAGATTTTTTTAATCTGAAAGTCATTGCGTCTTTAAGCACCACCTAAAGTATTGTCGGTCAGAACGTTTTGAAAAAGGCTATCTGGCACTAGAAATATAGCAGAAGGAAAGCTGCATGATTGTCTATGGAATGCACAAAAGGTATTTCATAAATTGATATGTTTTATGATAGACTTGACCAGCCAGAATTGTGACAGCTCCCATACACTGATCACATGGCATTTTTTCTTTTAGTCTATTTAAAAGGACTCTCGGGATTCAAATCACTTAGGTGCCATATTTGAAAAAGCTTATGTATGTGCTTAACTTAATGAACATATATAGTCCTATTGAAATAAATGAGACTATTCATGTGTAAAATTATGCACATGCATAAATCTTTGCAGAATTTAGGGCTATGTTATTCAGAGTGTTTGAGTTTATTAAAATTTAGGAGTGTAAGTGACTATTCAACTAACCAATAAGCATAATCTTATCGGATAGCTGACTAGTGATGCAATTAGTCACTTTCCCCCTTTGCTGCCTCTATCAGAGAGAGGCAGCAAGGGGGCAGGGAGGGAACAGGAGCTGCCTGGGGGGAGCTGGCTTAAAAGCTGGTTCCCCCCAATACTGTCTCTGCGAGGGTCAGGGGAGGTAGAGGCACAGAGGGAAACAATGCGAGTGGAAACTTAGGCAGTCTCCACTTGTGCTGGTTCTGCTGTGATTCTTCTTTTGAAACATTTCAAAAGCAGAAGCGTCGCAGGGAGCACTGGGCCAGTGGGGGACTCCCTTGCTGGACCCGAGCATCCTGCGAGGGCTTCCCTTTAAAATGTATGAACGCCCCACTGGGGCTCTTGTACATTTCAAAGGCTCAGACTGTGATGGGGTGTGGTCATAGACCACTCCTTGGGGGTGCCTCCTGAGGTGCTGACATGGCCACTGCCACTTGCCTTTCCGCTGTCTGGGGCTCCTCACTATCCGGTCCTGCTGGGCCAGCTCCACTGGTCTCCCCCAGCCAAGACCCCGAGTTGAGGTCCCTGTCCCCAATGAGAAGCAGTAGAGACACTGAACCTCTTCAGGTCCAAGGAGAGTGCAGTTTAGGGCCCAGCTTCCTCCGATACCACTCCCCAGATGGGATCAAACCCCAAAGAATTAGATATGGGCAAGCCACCTTTAACTATGAGGGGGAAGGTACACACTGGTTGCCTCCCCCCCCCAGGTAACAATTATTTACACTGGGTTTGATAGAAATTTTAAATGATTTTATTAAATAGAAGTAGCAGCATTTAAGTGATAATAAGCGAGAACAGACAGAGCAAAGTAGGTTACAAAACAAAAGAAACAAAAATGCTTGGCTAATTCTATACTGAAACCTCAGTACAAACTCTTCACTCACCCTAAAACCTCTTTTCTAGCTGCCCCTCCAAACCAGGGCTGTCTCCCCACGCTGAGGTCTTTGGCTCCTTTCCTTCAGATGCAGCCCTGCCAAAAGATCAAGGCCTCTGATTTCCTATTCTTTATGACAGTGGTCCCCAATGCGGTGCCTGCGGGCACCATGGCGCCGCTGGGGTATTTATGTGTGCCCGCCCAGTGATCAGGGCCGGTCTGAGCCATTCTTGCGCTCCGGGCGCCCAGCGCATGCGTGGTCTCCACCCCCGGGCACATGACAGCCCCAAAAGGTTGGGGACCACTGCTTTATGTTAAGGAATTGAGGCCACTCCCTACCAACCACTGCTCAGACTTATGGACAAAAGAGATTGTTTTACAGTGGCTCATCAAGACTTAGAGGGTAACTCCCTCCATGTCTCTCATTCACACATTTGAAACCCACAAAGTATTCCCCACTCCATGTCTAATTTTACACACACAAAATGATACATACATCAAAGTAGGATAAACAGAACCAGTAGATAATGACATGAAGATTTATGGGTTACACAAAATAATTCGCTCAAAGAACCTTTGAGTTACGTATATTCATGTCCATAAGTCCATTTCATAAATCATGGGGGGGGGGGGGGGGTCAGCCAGGCATGGCAGGAGCGCAGGGCCAGTCCCCCACTGGCCCCGCACTCCCTGTGGGGTTTCCACTTTTGAACTGTGGCAGGAACCCGGCAGGAGGTGTCCTAATCAACTAATTGAATAGTCGATGGAAAACCCATGGACTATTCAATTAGTTAAGTAATCTAAATTTAACATTCCTATTAAAATAAAAAGCATTTTAAGCATTTATTTTTTTACTATTCATTCTGTTGTTTCTTCTGTTTTTATCAAAGTGGATAATAAAATAGTTTGGTCAGTTTCACTTTTCTTTACAGTCAGTTTTATTCAATTTTACTTTCAGCTTTTACCTTTTTTAGAAATATTCCCATGACTTTTTTCTATGCAAATAGTTTCCTCTCTAGATTTATCATTCCCCTGAATTATTTGCCACTCAGAATTTGTAGAATGGTGTTATCCCAGGAGAAGCTGAAAGTAAAACGGACTACAAACAAGAGAGACTGTCCTCATGAAAGAGAGATGTCCTCATGGAAGTAACTGTAGGCTCAGGGTCCAGGAGGGAGCAAACAGCTCCAAATCTATAATCACTTTAGATATTACTCTGTGCTGGCTGGTGCAGAGTAGGAGGGAAAGCCTCACTATACCTCCATCTCAATCACCTGAAAGAAAGTCAGTAGCCACTTTGCAAAATATACTTCTTCCATTGTCTGCAATGCAGACAGCTGGCATTAAGATGCTTGCACCCCTTTATGCTTCTGTGCCAGTGCACCAGACAGGCCAACAGTTAGTTCAAAGGAGCGGCACTGTTAGTAGTAAAAGTGACATAAGGGTGGGGCTGGGATTTCAGTAAAATGTTTTTCAGGAAAAGTGTCTGCTTGCCTCCGAAAATTTCTTTTCCCCCCTCAAAAAGTTTTGGCCAAAAATGGGCATAGTAGCATGGTCTTCCATTGTAGCTTGCTCTCCACAAATAAAGACTCCATGTTACACAGATTCCCCTCATCAAAAAAGGGAGACTATGATGCATAGTCCAGCTGGCAATCCTGATCCACTGAGAAGAATAAGGACAAAGAGTATGTTACAATTCCCGCCAAAAATTATAACTCCCATTTTTTGCAAAAATTTGTCAGTTTTCAGCCAAAATCACTGAAAGCTCAAAATTTCCTATGCAAAATTTCAATGAAAAGCTCAAAAACCCTTCCATTTTCCCTGAAAATTTCCATAGGGGTAAAAACATTTGCACCAGCTGTACTGAGGGGAGGCAGGGAATGGAAAGGATATTCAAGGTTGCAAGACCAAAACAGTGTCCTCCTCTATCCATTCTAAGTCTACGTCTATGCTGCACATTTATTTCAGAATAAGCTATTCCAGAATAGTTATTCCAAAAAAGCTTATTTTGAAATAGCACGTCTACACTGCAGGGAAGCCTCAAAATTAGTCAGAGACAGGCTTCACTAATGTAGATGTGCTATCTCGATTTACAGCCCCAGGAGGAATAACTTAGAATGGTCCTGGTGAGGGGCTATTTCGAAATAGCAGAAGTGGAACATCTACACATGCCTTATTTCGGAATAGGCATTATTCTTCGTAGAATGAGGTTTACAGAAGTCAGTATAAGCCGTCTATTATTTCGAAATAACAGAATTACTGTGTAGATGCTCGCATAGTTATTTCAGAATAATGGCCATTATTTCGAAATAACTTTGCTGTGTAGACACACCTTGAGTCTCCCACGTAAGTAGAAGTATATTTGTCTAAAATAAAGTACGGTATTCTTTAATGTACCCAGCAAAAGTCAGCACAGATGCACCATCTGGCTTGCACTCAGGCCTTCTTATTTTTTTAATTAAATCCAATTTCATCTAGCAGAGTTAACCAAGACACAGTGAGGGCAAGTGGCTTTCCTGAGGTCACACAGCAATTTAATGACTCAGCCTGGATTAGAATTTCTCAACTGACAATCAGTATTACTTCTAATCCACACAGCCAGTCCTGGTTTTGCACAATAAACAACTGCTCAAATTTCTTTAAATCCCTAGAGACCCAGCTTTCAAGAGGCAAAATATTACTTATGAAAAATGTTCATTATTTCAATAACTACTCCAGAAATAGTTGTCCCTTCTGATCAGCAATATGAAAGAAATATTAGTTTAGCCTGACCTAGACTTTTCCAACTGCTTATGAGACATTTTGTTTTATTCCCTCTAACACAGGACACATATATACACAAATAGCATGAAGACACTCAACAGAGCATCTTTCATAAGCTTATTATGAAATGGAGGTTCCTGAAACCTACTTAAGGCCAAATATTTGAAAAGAGTGGCCTCTTTTTTGTGGTTGTCAACTGCACCCTTAAAATTTGCACCTGCATTTTGTATATTCAGTTCAACTACAAGCAGAAACAGATAATTTAGTGTGAAAGTGCTCACATTTGGGCTGAGGAAGTGGGTCTGGCCCACGAAAGCTCATCATCTAATAAACCATCTTGTTAGTCTTTAAAGTGCTACATTGTCCTGCATTTTGCTTCCACATTTGGGCATGTATGTTTACTTCTCAGTTCCTTTTTGAAAGCATGAAATTGCAGGCAAGAATCCTAGGCTATGTCTATACTGCACCCATCCACAAAATCTCATGCAAATGAAGCACGGAGTAGAATATCGCCACGCTTCATTTGCATAATTAATATGGGGCCGTTTTTGCACAAGAGGCTTTTGCGCAAAAAAGGAGCTGTGTAGACGGCTCCTTTTTGAGCAAAAACTCCCTCTTGTGCAAGAGCCGTTCTTCCTAATTTTTTCAGGAAGAATGGCTCAAGCACAAGAGGGGGTTTTTGTTCAAAAAGGAGCCGTCTACACAGCTCCTTTTTTGCGCAAAAGCCTCTTGTGCAAAAACGGCCCCATATTAATTATGCAAATGAAGCGTGGCGATATTCTACTCCGTGCTTCATTTGCATGAGATTTTGTGGATGGGTGCAGTATAGACGTAGCCCTAGTACTTGCACTTCTAACTACCTGATTTGCACCTACAATTAAAGAAAGTGTGAAAAAATTGCCAGCAAAAATTTCTACTTACTTTAAGTGAGGCTGTTCTCCTCTATCCCTTGAAAGTTGACCCCACAGAAACATGACACAATTTGAAAATGGTTTGCAACTTCTTTTTCTAGGTGATGGGCTTTAGCACTAAGTCACAAACATAGATACTTCTCTACTCACTTTGCAAGAGATCAAACATGCACCATATAATTACCTCTGCAAGTTTCAGATGAAGAAGAGCATTTTCTGTTTCCAGCACAACTATTCTTTCTTCTTTAGCCTGGAAAAAGAAGTTGACAAGCTAGATTCCGCATCATCACCCTCAGCAGTAAAACTGAAATAATAATTTCTGAATGTAGCCAGATGAATAATTATTTGACAATCATACACTTATTTTTAGCAGCATGATTATTGAATATAATATTACTTCATTAATATTTTAGCTTAATATATATTTTCATAATCTGTTAGGATAAATAATTTCTGTTTATTAGATTGTATAATTACTGGTTCTCACCTTTTTTCCCCCAATATTGAGACCTACCTTCCCTTACTGATACACCCTTTCAACCTAGCTGGTTTAGCAGCTTGGGAAAATGTGGGTGCTTATGACACAATGACATCTGTTTGCAACTCTGCTAGGTGCAATGCACCCAAGTTTGAAAATCCATAAGCTATTGTTTCAGGATGGCTGCAGATTCATGCAGTCATCATTGTATTAGCTAAAACTAAGTTATCCTTTTCAAGATAGTCCCTGCAATCACATGGGTAGAAATACTTTTAAAATAATGAAAAAAGCAAAAAAGGAGGGCAACTGGAGCTCTTCCATACCCCCAGATTGAGAATCCTTAGTATAGTTTAATGCACATCTGTAATCAGAGAATGTACTGTTTATTACAAGTACTCAAATTCTTACTAATTTGTGCAGACATTACAGTTTAGAATAAGAACAGCCATGCATCCAATCTTGTATTTCAAGGATCTATACAGATTATACTTTCCTATTAGTACAGAGAAGTAGCGTTGCCAAAACAAAGAACATTTCCGAATTTTAGAACCATGAATTTTAGAACCATTTTCTACACAGCAAAAATGAGTTGGGAAAGCAGATGATGTTGCTGTTTTGATTGTCAGAAGATGCTTAAAAGGAATATTATCTGGGGAACTACAAGTCTCTCAAGGTCTCAGCATGGATTCAATTTTATATGTTAGTTGTTTAGTAAATTATGATCCTAATTCAGATATCCAATGATAATTTAAATGTTGACATTGATAAATATTTTACTGCTACTCAAGGAACGTATAAAGGAAGACAGATAAGTATAAAACATAGATAAGCATAATCTATCAGGAGTGACAGCTCATTTTGGTGACACAAATGGAATGTGCTTGGATGATGGTCATCATTTTTCCTCACTGCCAGGTCCTCAAACTAATCCTCAGCTCAAACTATGCACTGGAGGATACTCCAGAGCATCAATGGCCTGATCCGTTCTGGTGGTAAGAGGCCAGGCAGCATCTTCCAGGAATGGGTACTGCTCCTCTGCTTGCTGAAGGCATCTAGTCAGGCAGACACCACAGCACTGGTCACATTCAGGTCACTTTTTCAAGCTTTTCTTAGCAATCAGGAGAGCTAAAAACATATCTTTTAAGGGAAACTGAAGTTCTACTCTTATGATGTGACTCTGGGAGCATATGTTTATAACTTGAAGCAGCCCCACCAAAGCACCTGGGAGATCCAAGGTGCATGACAAAGTCCATGGGTGCATATCTGAACATCTTCAAAATCCTGCTGTGTAAGCATCTCATCTTGGTGCCATGAGCAGGTGGAACTTGGGGCAGGAACACATAGCTCCTTCACAAATGTGGGCCCTGACCTCCAGGGCCATGCAGCAGAATCAGGCTGCCCATTTCCAGACCTAACTGGGGACTTAGTAACCGAGGAGGGCAGCAGTACGGAGGCCACATAGATTTAGATTTGCCCACATCCTACTTCCTTACCCCAGCTCCTTGTGGTGGGTGTGTTGCTGGGTAGTACCGGTCATGCCTTCAGGCTCCACAGCCCACTTGGGATATTACTTGGCAGGTCCTCCATGGAGCTGCAGCACAGACGGCTGCCTTGTGCAGTTCACAAACAATCACGATCCCTGCCTCTTTTTCAGAACAAAGGCAACTCTGGCTCACAGATCTGTAGGGGTATGTCTAGATTGCAGTTGCTCTTTCGGGATCCCAGAAGTATCCCAAAACAGCAATGCTGCGTCACTAAAAGTACCCGCTATTTTCCAAAATAGCAGGTGCGCTGTTCCAGCATCCCTGTAACCCTCGTTCCACGAGAGCTAAGGGAATTGTCAGGACAGTGCCTTAGTTTGAAATTTAGCATTGTGTAGACAGCGCCAAATTTCAAAATAAGCTTTTTCCATTTAATCTCGGAATAAGCTACGCAATTTGCTTAGTGCAAACTGCGTAGCTTATTCGGACAGAAGGGCGCTGGCTAGCCCCACGCTAGGGACCGTCAGGTTGTAGCATCCTGGTCAGTTGCTCCCACCAGCTGGCAAAACTGGTCCCCTAGCACTGCAGCAGGAAGTGGGGGCTTGGGGCACTTTGCAACCGCGGGGCCTGCTTGCATTCCCTGGTCTGGTCTCCACGAGCAGCCTCGCTGGGCTCCTTCCTTATTGCCCCAGCACCGTCAAGCTGCTTTTCTTCCTCCGCATCCTTCCCCAGCGGCCTTTTCCCCGAGGCGCCCCGCGCGCTCCGAGCTCCCAGGGGAACCCGCCTTACAGGTCACGTGTCTATGCCCGAACGCACACAACCTAGAACCGTTACATCCCCAAGGGGCGGGGCTATGACGCAGCCTCGCTGGGCTCCTTCCTTATTGCCCCAGCACCGTCAAGCTGCTTTTCTTCCTCCGCATCCTTCCCCAGCGGCCTTTTCCCCGAGGCGCCCCGCGCGCTCCGAGCTCCCAGGGGAACCCGCCTTACAGGTCACGTGTCTATGCCCGAACGCACACAACCTAGAACCGTTACATCCCCAAGGGGCGGGGCTATGACGCAGTGAGGCCGGAGGGGCAGGCCCCGCCCCTGACCTTTCCCCAC